TGAGTGTCCAACTTCGTCTCAGGTCATGATCTCGCGGCTCATGAGTTCGAGCCCCGCGTCGGGCTCTGTGCTGACAGCTCGGAGCCTGGAGCCTGCTTCGGAGTCTGTGTCTCCCTCTCTCTCTGCCCCTGACCCACTTGCATTCTGTCTCTGTCTCTCTCAAAAATAAATAAACATTAAAAAAAATTTAAAAAAAAAGAACAATGTAGTAAACCTGTTATTTTTTTCTCCCCTGAATAGTTTATGAAGCAATTTTCTTTAAACTTTGAACATTTTTCTGTAACATCTGGGTTAATAGTCATTAGAGTTTTGTTTGTTATCATTAACCTTTTACAAAACACACAAACTTTATTTTTGTCCAAGTTATTTGTGAAATAGTGCTTTTTAAGTCTGTGAATGATACTGAGAACTTTATTCTCTCCACAAAACCCGGTTGTGTAATATTAGGTTGTATGACTTAAAAAAAAATCATCTGGTAGGTGTGTATATGTCATCTCCTTAACACAACCACTTTTTTTTATTGTTCTTAATGTGGTTTTGTTTTGTTTTTTTTAAGGGCTTGCCTAGGAAGAAAATATTTGCAATTGGAAGGTCATACCACTGGGAGTAATGCTGGAATCTGTGTGAAATGTCTTTGCCTCCATTTTTTCTGATTCTACCCATGACCTCTGTGGATATCCAAGACTTCATTGATTGGGGTTATTTCAGGCTAATGAGTTTCCCCCAAAGAGCATTCTGTTTTTCAAAATGCAGTAATTGAGAGCATGCCCCATAATGTGAGAGACTTGGTAAGGACTTGGATATAAAACAAATCCTTCCTACCTGGGGGATAATTTTGGAACAAAATCTTTTTTTTAATGTTTATTTATTTATTTTTGAGAGAGAGAGAGAGAGAGAGAGAGAGAGAGAGAGAGAGAGAGAATTTCAAGCAGGCTCTGCCCTGTCAGCACAGAGCCTGATGTGGGGCTTGATCTCATGAACCATGAGATCATGACCTGAGCCGAAGTCGGATGCTCAACTGACTGAGCCACCCAGATGCCCCAAGAATGGCTAATTTTCATTTTTATGGCCATTATGGAAGCCACTCGGAGGGTTTTAAGCAAGGGGTGACTTGACTGATCTCGGTTGAAATATCTCTCAGGCTGTCACGTGCAGAAGGAACAGCAGGGGAGTAAGAGAGGAGGGGCCAGCTGCTGCAGGTATCCAGATGTTCAGTGAGGTGGCTTGGCCTGGGATGGAAGCACTTGGAGACGGTCTGAAGGGAATGGACTTTGAACTTAGAATTATATGAATGTGACTTGCTAATGGTGTGGATATAATTGTGAAGAAAGAGGCATGTAGGTTTTTGAACTCAGCAGCTGGGTGAGTGGGGATCTCCTCTTCCAAGGTGGGAAGACTGGGAGAGAACATAAATCTGTTCTGTTAGTAGGATCAGGAGTTCTGTTTTGGATGACTGAAAGGAAGTGTTGGATATATGAGTCCAACACTCATGGGAGTGGTTAGGTGGGAACATATAAATGTGGGAGCCATTGGTTTATAGATGGTTTTTATAGATGGTACTGGACAAGATCACAGAGGGGAAAAGAGGGTAGAGAACTGGGCCCTAAGGCACCCTGCATTTAGAGACCAGCAAGAGGAAGAAGAAGCATCGGTGGAGATCAAGGAGGGCCCCTCAATGTGGTGGGAGGAAAGCCAGGACAGGGTGCTTCCTGGCAGCCAAAGGAAGATGGTGTTTGAGGAGGGAGCTCTCAGTGGCCGTATGTTGCTGGGGGAGTAAGATGAGATCGAAGAACCAACCACTGGATTTGGCAGCTTGTTGGACATTGGTAAACTTGGGAAGAACAGTCCTGACTAGAATGAGTAAATGTGATGAGGAGGTGGAGACAGCAAGTATAGACCACCTTTAGAGAGTTTTGTTTTTTGCAAAGGGGGTGGTAGCTGGAGAAGGATGTGATGTCAAGAGGGAATGACAGAAAGAGAGAGGACAACGTTATAGCATTTTTACAGAATTGTGAGGCAATAGCTGTGGAGCACAGTCCAGAGGGGTGAGAGGTGAGGGGTCCAGTGTCCAAGAGGAGGGGGTATCAGGAGCAGGGGCGCTCATCCGTGTCACAGGGGAGAAGGCAGAGTGAAGGGGCGCATAATGCTTGCCTGTCAGCTGAGGAGGTTTAGGCAAAAGGGGGCAAGAGAAGAAGGTATGATATAGTCATCTTGGAGACTAGGGTTAAAGTTTTAGGAAAATGTAGACTTGCCTGAGGTGCCGAGTGCCCACCGGAGCTTTGTACTCAGAAGTTTCCACTGAAACCAGTCAGTGCAGTTGTGTTATTCTCCAGGTGCTCTGGAATGGGTGCCACATGGAGAGCTGGTTTTAACTGGGGCTTGTCTTGCCTGGTGAGTGACTATAGCAGCAGGCAATGGCAAGGGAGAGCAGGACACATCTATGAGGGGCCCACAGAGTCTAAGCTGGGAAAAGAGGGGAGGGAGGACATAAAGGGGCTGATGATGGATGGTGAAACAGTAGATGTGGTAGAGGGAGCGCTGGAGCGGGAAGCAGAGTGGGTGAGCTAGGAGATGATGCAGCTCTTGTTAAGACAAGACATATGTGGGTGACTAAAGATGGAGGGGAACAAGGAAGTCAAAGCATGGCGAGGTAGGTGTTTAGATGTGGTCACCAGAAATGGTAATACGCATAGCCTTAGAGAGAGAGAAGCTGATCCAGGGGCTAAGCTGGTCCAGGAACAAGAGGAGATAACCAAGATATCTTATTTGTCTCCCCAACTCAATGTGTCTGCAACTGAAGTTATCACTATGTCCCTCAAACCTGCCTCTCCCCTGGGGAAATGGCACCACCACCCTGAGAAGAAACCTGGGCGTCACTACGGTTCCTCTCTCCCTGATCCGCACACCCACTCAAATCACCCAACTGATCTGATTCTATCTCGTAAATCTTTCTTAAATCCAGCAACTTCTTTACATCCCCAATGCACACACCCTTGTTGAGGCCATTGTTGTTTGTCACTTGGACTATTGCATCAGCTTCCAAATAAGTAGCCCTGCCTTGGCCCTTCTGCACATTAGCCAGAGACACTGCACATGAGATCATCTCACCTCTGTGCTGAGTCTCTCCAGTGACTTTTCATTGTCCTGAGGATGAAGTCCAAAATCCTTAACAGGGCTTTACCATGAAACCTCTGCATGATGTAGCCCTTGCCTACTTGGGCCTGACTCTTACTGCCAGCCCCCTCACTGGGCTCCAGCCCTTCTGGGTTACTTCCTGTCCTGGTCACCCTGTCCTTGCTCTTCCCTCCATGCCTTTCTCCTGTTGTCCCTTCACCTGGCATCCCCTCCTTGCTCTGCTTGGCAAAATCCTCTTCTTTCTCTAGGTGTGAGCTTCAGAAGTCTCAGGGAAGCCTTTCCTGAATCCCTGGATGTTGGATCCCCTTCCCTCTCCCCCCTCCCCCCTCCCCTCAGCACCCTGTGCACTCCAGGATGCTAAGAGCTGTTCTCTTCATGGGATATAACCTCCATGAGATTAGGGACTGTGTCTGATCCTTGGCACCTAGCGTGGGGCTTGTCACGTAAAAGTGAACAATAAATATTTGTTGGCTTGAATCAAGTGGGAGATTCTAGAGGTGGAGTAGTACTGGGTGAAGACAAAGTCTGGGGTGTGGTCCTGTGAGTGGGTAGCTAAATGGAACAGAGGAGGAGGTCATGAGAGACACCGAGGGCATGGAATGAAAAGGACAGAGTGACGCCCAGATGTTTCCGGCAGCCCTGGGCCATGAGAGAATACCCAAAAGACCCTGACTTGTGTCCTCAAGTCTTCAATGAGGTGGCAGCAATGGGGGTGGGGCAGAAGGCGGAAGAGACAGATGGCAGGGGCCTGAGCTGAGCGAAGGGAGTTCAAGAAGGGGGAGATGGGAAGGTCTGAGAGTGGTAGTGAGGGCTGTGGGGGGGCCTTGAGGGTGTGGGCAGGACTGAGAAACAAAGTTCCATGGCTAGCGGCTCAGATGGTGTTCCACCACTCTCTGGGTCACTGGCTCAGGACTTGGGATCTCCGAGAACAGCACCTATGAACAGGGCTGCCACAGGAGTAGTCAGGTCCCAGGATGCACTCACCATATGCTGGCAGAAACTGGAATGGGGAATCTGGAATCTCAGAGGGATATGGCTATGGCTGGTGGAGGCTGGTCTGAGAAGCATGGGGTCACCTGGTTCTGAACTGGTTGAGAGCATCAGCCTGCTTTCTGGGATCGGGTGGCCACAGCTCTGGTCTGGATTGGAGGTAGAGCCACCCTTATTTCCTGGAGGCAGGAGTTCAGTGGATGGTTTTGGTGCCCTGCCCATGTCCCCTTTGCTGGGGGGCAACCATTCCCCAGCTGCTGTGAATATAGGGCACTCGTGGCTTCTAGCTGTCCCTGGAGAATTGACCTTGATTGAATAGGAACCGCCTACCCCTTCCTGTCAGCCCTACTGCCCATGGGGTTGCCTGAAGCCAATGACTGACTGGTATGGGAGTTCCAAAGCTTGATGCCCTTTCTCGCTGGGACAACTCAGAGATGGGATTTATGATCCAAAGGCCCCTCACCCCACAGGGATCCGGCCAAGGCCGTTTCCTTGAGCCCATACCCAGCTCAGTTTGCTCCCCTCCCTAGCCTGCTTCTCTTGCTCCTTCCACCACATGCAAACAAATTCTTGCTGTTGGTTCTGTTTCCAGGGACCCTGACCTAAGAAGTGACTCCTGATCTTGTCCCGTAATTGGGCGTGGGGCACAGAGGCTCTCTATGGACCACTATAGACACAGCCCAGCTAGGTGGGCCCTCTCCAGGCCAGTTTCCTTAACTATAAATGAAATCTTTAGGCTAGATTTAGTTAAAACAGCAACAATAATGGAATCTATAAGCAAATGAGAGGACACTTATCTGTGCTTCCTGGGCTAGGTGTGGTGAAGGATTCAGATAAACAAGACAGGTCTCTTCCGCCAGGCAGCTCATAGCCCATTTACTCATTTACCAAACATTTATTAAAGGTAGCTGGGGACCTGGGTGAGTCAGCGTCCTGCCCGTGAAGGGCTCACAGACTGATGGGCAAAGGCAAAGGCACAGGCTAGGTTTAAGGTTTTGAACCGTGGGGTTCAAGGAAGCATCCCAGGGGAGATTGGAAGGGTATTCCAGGCAGAAGGAACACATATGCGAAGGCATGAGGCATGACACAGCATGATGTGTCTGGTTGGGGACCCATAAGCCCTTTGGCATTATTGGTGGGAACAAGGGGGGAGGAAGCAGGGGTGACACTGGGGAGGCCAGCAGGGGTCAGGTTGAGGGCAATGGAGGGTTGTGGTAGTAGTGGAAGAATTTTTAAAGCAGGAAGAATGCCAGAGTCAGGTTCATATATAGAAGGACTACTCTGTCCCCATGGTGGAAGGGTGGTGGGAAAGGAAGGACAGATTCAGGAGACATTTAGGGTTGGAGTTAGCAGGATGAACTGCACTGGCACTGGCTTGTGGGGTGTGAGAGGCTGGGAGACGGGGAGGGCATGAGGGTGTCAGGCCAGCTCCTGGCTGGGACAACTGGGTGGCTGGGGTGCCATTCATGGTCAGGGAGTCGGTGATGTGTGAGGACGGTAGGTGTGGTCAGCATGGGAGCTGCTGACTGGAGGAGGCCTGTGGGCCTCCCGGAGGGTTGTTCCCCTGGGCTGTTGGTGGGGGCTCTGGCTCTGAGGCAGGTCCATACTGGAGCTGTGATTTGGGGAGGGGTCAAGGTCTGAGTGGTGGGGATGGGGGTGGGAGGATGAGGAAATGTGTGTCTGGTGAAGAGAGGGGGATTTCCTCAGACTGGAGGCTCCGGGAGGGACCCTGTAGCTCTGATGTTCTCAATAGGTCCGTGGCCTGTGGGGATATCTCTACAGACTCCCCATCCTGGGCTCACTCTCAGCACCTTCCCCTCCCTCCCAGCCTTCCCCAGACTCTCTCTCTGAGCAGTGTGATGGGCAGGGTGAGGGAGGCTGGAATGGGGGAGGGGCCGAGGCCTCCTGAACCATGCACATTCACTGCAGGGGCTCCCACTGAGAACTGACCTGTGCTGGGCCCAGGGTCTCCTGGGATCCCACTCCTCCTGCCTTGGCCAGCTGGTTGCAGACCAAGGCTGGTTGCAGAGCCCAGAGACCCCTGGAGCCACCTCTTGGCATTCCTACCACGTCCTGGGGGCACACTCTGTGTGTGTATGTGTGGCATATGTTGTGTGGTGCGTGTGAGTGTGTGTGGTGTGGTGGTGTGTGTGTGCGTGATGCATCGATGACCTTGGATCTGAGGTTCTGGGGTGCAGGCACCCACTGAGTGGTTGTGGCTCCTCTCTGAGGTCCATGGTGAACCCCCCTGACACTTCTACCCGGCACTCCCCACCTGGTGTACAAAATACTGGGAAAGTCACATTTATTAAGGTTTTGACATACCCCATTGCCATATACAAAATCCCCACCAGCCATCAACCTCCCTCCCCCGGGGCTCAGGACCTAGAGACCAAGCTGCTCTCCAGCACTGGCCCATGGGGGTGCTTCCTGAGCCCCACAACCATCTTCCTCACCTCCCCTGCTGCAGAAAAGAGGCCACTGCCCTGCGGTGGCCTTAGGGAACAGACCATGGACCCGGTGGTCCCAGCCACCAACCTCACAGGTTATGGAAACCCACCTGCATCCAACGTGGCCGACCCGGCCTTCATTAGGACAGACTTCCCATCTTGGGGGTGCTCTCTCTGGGAGAGGACATATGGGGGGCACGTATCGGGCAGGTGATCCCGGCGCGGAGACCGCTGGCGCTTCGGGCTGAAGGTCTCCAGGCACCTCTTGCCCACCAGGTAGACGACCTCACTGAGGTTGAGCAGGATGCAGATCACAGCTGTGGCCACCATGAAGTAGGTGAAGACCTTCTTCTCCGTGGGTCGGGAGATGTAGCAGTCCACAGTGTGGGGGCAAGGGGACTCGGAGCAGGCCACCACCCGGGGCATGTCGTAGTCCTGGTAGAGGCGGTGGAAGACGTAGAGGAAGGCAGAGTCGACGGCAGCCTTGAAAACGAGACTCAGCAAGTACGTCCACCAGAGCCCGCCCCGCTTCTTGCTGGGGTTGTCGTACAGGGACGGGGCGTTGGGGCCGTGCTTCAGGCGGTGCTTCCGCTCCCGCTCCTGGCGGTAGGCGACGTGCATGACCACGAGCAGCGAGGGGCAGGTGACCAGGATGAGCTGCAGGGCCCAGAGGCGCACGTGGGACACGGGGAAGAACTCGTCGTAGCAGACGTTGGGGCAGCCTGGCTGCTTGGTGTTGCAGACGAAGTCCTTCTGCTCGTCGTCCCACACCTCCTCCGCGGCCACCACGTACACCAGCACGCGGAAGATGAACACCACCGACAGCCAGATGCGGCCTAGCGCCGTGGAGTACTTGTTGACCCCGCTCAGGAGGCCCTGCAGGGACGCCCAGTTCATGCCGACTGTGTCCTTGCTTCCTCACGTGGACGGTCTACACCGCAAGTGCCCACTCCGGAGTGGGGGCCACGAGGCCTGGGAGAGCCTGGAAATGGGTGCCCTTTATTGAAGGTGCGATTGGCAAAACCCTTTCAGAACCACCTTGTCATCACGTCCTCACCTGCAATGACTTGGTGGTGGGGGGGAGGGGGGGAGGGATGGCTGTTATCCCCATTTCCTGGGGTGGGGGGGGGGGGCCCCAGTGGGTAAACTAAGGCCTAGACAGCCACCTACCCGAGGCCTCCCCCTGCTGGAAATGGTGGAGCTGGTCTTGAACTCCCATCTTCCAGCTCCAAAATCAGGGGATGTTTTGTTCTACAGGGTAATGGATAAACGTGAAAGGTAATCATCTTCCATGGATGTGCCTGCCAACTTCTGTGACCCCAAGTTTCTGTGGATAGCATGACTTCTACAGAAACAGGAAGAAGGTGCAGGTTGGATGATTTGCCCTCCTGCCAGCTGCTGGGGCTCGACAGGGGCAGGGGATGAGGGGTGTGTATCATTATCCTCCAGCTTCTAATGAGCACCAACATGAGCCAGGCCCTGTGCTGGGTGTGTTCACATTGGCCTCTTTGAAGAACCCCTGAGTGATAACCATCCTCACTGAGAGGCCCAGGGCATCCCCAGCCCGGACATTTCCTCCCACACTAAATAGGCTCTTTGGAGCTGTGGCGGTTTGGCCCCATGCGCCTCCCCTTCCCTGCACCCATGCGAGCGCTGACTGTCCTGACCACAGTGGGTTCCTCTGGAATTCCAACCATTTCGGCTTTAGGGAGGGCCTGGGAAAGGGACAAAGGCAGGATTCTGGCTCGGTCCACCCCTGATCATGTACTTTTTCTCAGGGACACCTGTCTTCTCTGATTGTCAGCCAGGTCTCCCATTATTCCTGGTTGGGCCTCTGTCCGATGTGCTCTGTCCTCCACACCCCCTTATCTGGAGAGCCATCAGGTTCTCTCTCCTGCCCCAGCCCCCCCGCCCCATCCCTGACTCAGACCTCACCATCTTCAGAGCTTCTCACCCTGGGACATTTTCTGAATACCCTCCTCTATCTCTCATGGCAGAATGGATCACTGGTGTTCAAATAGTCTGTTTACCTGTCTCCTGCACCAGACTGTCAGCGTCTGGAGGGCAGCCTCTACGCCTGGATCATCTGTTCCCCCAGGACTCAGCACCAGGCTTGGCCCCGTGAGCACACAATAGATGTTTGCTGAACTGAGCAGAAACTCTCTCTTCCTGGTCCCTCCTTTTCTTTGTCTCTTCTCTGGTCCTCTGTCCTCCTTTTGGTCTGGCAGGATATCCCCTCCCCTCCTTGGGGCTTCCCTGGGGTTTCTCCAGGGATCCTCTGTCCTCTTTCTTCCTCCCAGGAGCCCAGCCTGCAGCCTGAGTTCACGAGGTCCCTCAGCCCACCTGGTCCCTGCTTCCCAGCCCCCTCTCCGGCCCGGTTGGGTCCTCACCTTTCTTGGGTCTAGCAGCCACTCTCTGGTCCCTGGGCTTGTCTGTGTGCCTGAGGGCCTCCCAGAGGCAGCTTTTGTTCCTCACTCCTCTTTGGGGTGGAGCTTTCTGAGCCAATGAGCCAAGGGAGAGTGAGCGGGTGGGCCGGCGGGCGGACTTCCCCGGGCACATATTCAGAGCAAACACCTGTGTGGCTCTTCTCCCCTGGCCCACGCCTTCTCTCCAGCCTGGATGGGCATGGCTGGGTCTGGCTCCCTGGGCTGGCAGGTATTTAGATGGAACTGTTGGAGGTGGGGAGGCAGTGCAGGAGCCCTGTATTCTCATGTGAGGGCCCAGGTCAGCCCCAACGCTAGCCCCTGTCTGTTGCTCCTAGCCCCTTCCAGTTGCCTTATTGCCCCTAGTCCCTCTGTCCCCAGGCCTCTCTCTTGCCCTTTTCGGAAGCACAGTTCTGGGGTCCTCAGCAGGTGGTATATGTGGAGAGGGGCAACCTTGATTCAGCCCAGGATCACGTTGCACCCAGGTGGAGACGTTTCTGGGGACTAGAGCTTGGGCTGCTGGTGAGCTGTGTGGGGGTGGGAGGGACGGATTCTGGTTTTTCAGACAAGGATACCGCTGCTCGGGTGGAGACAAGGAATGCAGGCCAGCAGCATGGAATGTCCCAGCTGGCATGGGGCCAGGCATAGCCTCCCTGTCTGTCTCCATAGACCTGGGTCCCTGGGGAAGGTCTGCAGGGAAGTCAGGGTCTTCCTGGGTGGGGGCTGCAGAGGGGCCTTGGGCCTGTGTCCTTTCTGACTGTCCCGGTGGCTGGGATAGTGAGGATTAATGTGCAGCCAGGGAGGGGCTCTTCTGCTTGATTTCCCACAAGCATTTATTGAGCACTTCCTAATACCAATGATTAACATTTATGTGGCCTTTTACAGCTGGCTTACCCCATCCACAGCCATGAGCTCATCCAGCACCCCCCAGCCCCTCCAGGCTCCACGTTATTAACCCACTTTAGAGAGGAGCTGAAGTCACTTTTCCAGAGTCCCGGTGGAACATGGGTTCGAATGCAAGTGTTCTGACTCAAAAGTTCACGAACTTTCCATTGCAACACACACGTCCCCACGTGCTAAGCCCCATTATGTTTGCAGACAGCCCTTGGGCTTAAATTTGCAACTGGGGATAAAGGCTTGTCTTGAGCTTGAGCAATCGGCATGACCCCCAGGAGTGCTGGGGACTTTTTCTGGGGGAGGGGACGGCCCCTCCTCCTGGCTGGTTCAAGTCCAGCCCTTTGCAGGGGCAAGAGACGTTGACCCAGTGATCTGACAGGGGTCACAAAGGATGAAGAAACGAAGCAGGGCTCGAAGCAAGTGGAGGAGTTGACTTTTATTAAGCCTTGACCGTGGGCGCCCCCCACAGATGGCACTGGCACATCCATTCTCTAAATAAACCCCTCCTCACGGCAACAACCCAGCGAGGTGGGCTTCGCCTCCAATTTACACAGAAAGAAACTAAGGTTCAGTGTGGAGGGGTAACCTTCCCGAGGCCCCACAGTAGGGGGCAGGTGCAGGATGCCCCCTCCTACCTGCCCCTGCTTGCAGCTCAGCTCCCCCGCCCCCAAGGCTGCACCCATGGGAGATGCCGGGCCCTTTCCAACCAGGCTTGGCCAGGCCGCTCTCACAGCATGGTCTTCTTCACATGGTCTCGAGGGTGGTCTGGTAAGAGAGGAGGGTGAGAGTCTGAGCCCAGAAAGATGAGGTCGCCTGAGAGGAGGTCGTCTTCCTTGTAGGAAGAGGTGGGACAGTCTGGGCGATGGCCTCCGCCCGTGGCCCTGGCTCTCCTCGCTGCCAGGCCCTCACGGCACCTCTTGCTCACCAGGTAGGCCAGCTCCACGAGGTTGAGCAGGATGCAAATGGCGGCCGTGACCACCATGAAGAGAGTGAAGATGTTCTTCTCTGAGGGCTTGGAGATGAAGCAATCCACCGTGTTGGGACACGGAGCTGCGTGGCACTTGACCACATGAGGGAGGGTGTATTTGGGGTAGAACGAGTGGAACACGTAGAGGAAGGCGGTATCCACGCCGGCTTTGAACACCAGGCTGCAGACGTAGGTCCACCAGAGCCCACCCCGCTTCTTGCCGGGGTTCAGGTAGAGGCGCCCGCCGTCCTCCCCCACTGCCTCTCGGTGCTTCTTCTCCCGAGCCTCCCGGTAGGCGACGTGCATGACCACGAGCAGCGAGGGGCAGGTGACCAGGATGAGCTGCAGGGCCCAGAGGCGCACGTGGGACACGGGGAAGAACTCGTCAAAGCAGACGTTGGAGCAGCCCGGCTGCTTGGTGTTGCAGTCAAAATCCTTGTGATCGTCACTCCACACTCGCTCAACCGTCACCAGGTACACCAGCACGCGGAAGATGAAGACCAGAGACAGCCAGATTCGCCCAAAGGCAGTGGAGTACTTGTTGACCCCGCTCAGGAGCCCCTCGAAGATCCCCCAGTTCATGGTGGACCCAGCTGTTGGCTGCTACTGCTGAGAAATGATAAGAATTCCCCACATGTATAGAGCACTCACTCTGAGCACCTTATAGAAATACTGTATATCATCTGTATTTAATTCTCATAGCCACAGAGGAGCTAGGTTCTATTATTGTCCCCATTTTGCAGATGAAGGAAACTGAGGTTTGGGGGTTATGCAGATTGCACAACTATTAGGTGCAGAGCTGGGATTTGAGCCCAGCTAATTCAATCCAGAACCCGACTCTTATCCATAAAAGTGCATGAAGGTGGGTCCAGGGAGTCAGTCTTTCCTCCCAGGGCCCCGAGATTCTGGTCTTACAGTCCTGCAGAGTGAAGGTTTAAGTAGGTGGACACTCTGCCCTTTCCCTCTGTCCTGACCCTGGCCCTCCTCCTCAGGGGGCCAAGCCTCAGGAAGACTTCTCTCCTTTTGAGCCCCGCTCTCTCCTCTTAGCCCCTCCGAAGGGGAACCCGGTCTTTGCCCTTTCCTTGGCTTGCGGGACTGGGCTGGAGAGGCTGCTGGAAACTTGTCCCCAGACTGCCATCTGTAAATACCCAGGCAATGTCTTGCTGGAATGCAACTCACTAGAAGCAAGGCCAATGACAATCCAGCTGAAAGATAAAGTAGGGGACAACGGTTCTCTTTATCCAATGGCCTTCCTAGAGTAGCCTGGTGTGCTGTAGTTTGGATTCCCAAACTGGGGTTCCATGGAATCCTGTCCATAGTTTGGCAACAGGAGTAGTAAGAGAAAAGGATTCTGTGTCCAAGAAAGGTAGGCAAACACAGGTTCAGCAAAGTTAAATAGGTCCCTTTACTTGACCATGCTAATACGTTTACACTGTGAGTCTCCAAAAGGGGGACGAAATATGTAGCATTGCCCAAACTCCTATGACCACAGAACCTTTTTTTTTTTTTAAATCATCTTATGGAACAGTCTTGTCAACACAGCAAAATGGGAAATTCTGCTCTGGTCAGTTTCACCAGTGAGTTCAGTGTGATAAACACACAGGTATCAGATTTAACTCCGTTTAGGGAGTATGACTGCCATTCTGAGTGTGTGGTATCCACTTGATCTCTTGGAGTTCTTCTGCCTGGTTCCTGGGTTGGGGGGTGGTTCCCTGAGACCCATGTACTGTGGTCTCACCTGCTGGGATCCCCAAGGACCTCAGGGAGACTGCACAGCCTCTTGCTGTAAGGGGTTCCTGGTGCCCTTTCCAGCGCTGGTCTAGGCACTGGGCATTGCCCTGTCCTGCCTGTGGGATCTGTTAGAGATGGGCAGGGTAGTGATAACAGCCAACAGTTATAGGGTGTTTATGCAACACCAGGCACTGTTCTGAGCACTTTGCACGAACCAATATAGTATGAAAGGGTATGCTATTTTTTATTGCCAATTTGCGGATGAGTAAAGTGGAGCACAGAGAGGTTAATTAATTTGCTCCTATTTGCACAGCTGGGAAGCAGCAGAGCTGGGATTTGAATTGCACTCTGGGGCCTGGACCCCTTTCCCTAAGCTGCAGGAAAGGGGTCTGTGCCCGTCCTCTCCTCCACGAGGTGGACGTCAGGTTAGGGAGGCTGGAGGCGTCTCTGCTCCCACCCTGTCTCCTACCCTGTCTCTCCACTCTTCTGTCTATACCACCTACCACTTGGTAGTGAATCATCAACTTATCTTTGCTCGGTCCTGCCTAAGGTGGGAGGAACTCCTGGCAGCCTGACAGGGAACAGCCAAGGAGGCTCCAGCCCTTAGTCCCCAGAGGCTTCTGGCCCAGCCCACCTAGGGTGTGGTGGGGTGGGGCTTTGCAAGCCCAGGCAGAGTCTCTTCGCTTGCTCAGCTTCTGGCACCCCTGTGAGCCCCTCTCCCACTTGGTCCCTGGCTCCTGCCTCTGCTCAGCTGGGGAGAGCTGAAAGAACCCAGAGCAGTGGAGGGAGGAGCCCTCTGTTCCTCTCCCACCAGAACCCAGGGTGGCGAATATGTCCAGGCTGCCTCCCTCGCCTCTCCATCAGAGATGTCTCCCTCTGCCGGGTACACCAAGGGTCCATCTGGACACAGGTGGCCTTACCTGAGTGGCTACTCCTCAAGGGTCCTGGCAGCTGGCCATCGGAGGCAGCTGGAACTCATGTCAGAACCAGGGAGGGTGTTTGGGGCAGCGCCTTCCTGGGACGGAGCCTGCAGAGTCCGCAGGCAGCCGGGTGTGCCGCTGGCCTGGGAGGAGGCGGAGCTGTACGTGGCACTGCCATTGGCTGGGCCCCAGCCTCCCCAGACTGCCTCTGAGGAGGCCCAGAAACTTAAGGGTTCATGGTTCACTCTTCCTTGGGTGCTGAGCCCAGAATCCTGGCATCCTCTTAGGGTAGAGCCACAGGTCCATTCTGAACCTCGGCTTGTCCACTCATCCTTGGCCTTGTGTGCGAGGACCTGAGGTCCATCCTGACTTCTCATCCTTCTCCAGAAATGCCCCATGCTGCTTCTTGGGACTCTACAGGCTGCTCTCTGGCCTTCCATCCTTATGGCTTCAGTGACCTTCGGAAGCACAGTGACTCCCAAACACTGTCTCCAGCCCAAATGCTTTGCCCCATCCCCTGCTCACCCTTGGATGCCCTTCCCTCACTCTTCGCATCGCCTGGTACTCCTCCAAG